ATAACAAAATTATACACTACTCGCTTGTGTATGCGACTGTCGCGCCTGCGCACGTCTCATTTAACGGTTTTATTCCACGCACTTTTTTCGCACGGATTTTTTCTTACGGTTTTACTATCACATTTTTTTCAGTTCGGTCGCGCAGCAAAATCCCTATCCCCTCCAAGCCTGCCGTAAGGAACTTCGTTCCAAAAACATTATGTTTAACAATTTTAATTAGTGGTCCACCTAGGTCCTGGAACCAGCCCAGGGGGGGGGTCATGACCCCCATGACCCCCCCCCTGGATCCGCCCTTGGGTTACAGGTTCTTTTATACATGTATAATATATAATACATTGCAATATATTAGTCAATGTGAAGTACTATGCGATTTTTTTTATTTATCTGATAAATCACACCATCATACCTGATTAATTCATACAAAAACACCTACTTCTATAAACCAGAGTAAAGTGAAGTGACGAGAGTAGTGAATAGTGAAGTGTAAGTAAGAAAGGATGTAAAGGCATACACGGAGGATTGTTGCGACAACGTCGTACCTTCCGAGTAGCAAAGTGAAGTTTTTAGCGGCAATGATAGGGCCATGCACGTTTTCAGTGTTAACAAAGTAAATATTTAAAAGAGTTATTTATTTGGACGTTTTATTTGGAGTTCTCACTCCAATTCCCAACCTCTCGTTCGTAAGAATTGAACCGCACGTAAACTAGACTACAGGCTATCGCTTTCGATTCTAACGGACCTGATGGCGAGCTCGTTTAAACAATACGTAACTGGTGACGAGCGTCGACACAATTGCTAGAATGATTTCTTCACGTAAGTAATCTAAAGAATTAGTAAACTACTGGAATGTGAACCACATGTTTTGAGATCGTAAGCCGTTATGACAACAGATTTCAAAAGTGTTAATTGAGACAATGGCTCAATGGCTTAAATTCTCATCTCGCTAACCACCATTGAGCTTACGTGTGAACCTCGAGTATTTATTTCTTGTCTGGTTCGTGCTTGATTTCTTGTCTGTGCGTCCTTAATAAGCTAGCGGCTTATTCCTATTGGTGATTTCATTTACATAACGGAAAGGAATCTCCTATATATAACTAGAAGTTAATCCAGGTCGTCTCTTACCTAAACGCAGTATAAATCATCGAAATTTAAATCAGACAAGATTTAATATCACGGATGACGTTCTCGTTGCGTTCAGATTTAATCGCGCACTGTAAATCAAGTCCAGAGTTGATAATGGCGTGATGGATGGACTAGGTTAGGAGTTGCCAGGAGATGGGACCGCTCCATTAATCATTCCCTACCGAAGAGCACTGGCGATTAGTGGAGGAACGCCCAGCGACGGAATTGTTTGGACACGGCTAAAAACATATGTACGTATTTATTTATATCTACATAATTATTATTTCCAAATGTATTTTCAGTACGCCGTAACTTCCACAATTCTTCATAAAATTTAATGATTTGAACACCATTTTAAAGCTTACGTGTGCCGCTATTAATAAGACAAATAGAATAAGATGTATGTTTTCATTAAAAAAAAAACTACCATACGATAATGCCATCTGCGACTATTTATTTAAATGAAACTGAAAAAGGTCTTCAACCTTTCATAGGTAAATGCTTATTTATTCATTATTATCTTACCGTTCGGTGACTGATAACAGTCTTGATCTAATATTTCGCACGAGTCAACGAGTTTATTCATAATTGGTATGAGTAACGAGATTAAAGAATCTGCTGGCGTCTGCATTCCTTCCGAATACAATGGGGCATATTAAGGCAAGAGACATATTCAAGGCAAGAACAAATAGGCTCTGACATAGTAAGCTGTTACAAAACATCTATGACCACATCGCCGCCTATCATGGTGGGATTGAGGAAGCACTGACCAGTATTTGACATTCATTATGCTCTGGAACTAGATTTTTAGTTAATTTGGCAGTCCTTTCCTATCTAGCCTATTTATCTCGATGTTGATAATTATTTAAAATAATTTCATAATAAGTTCAAAAGTTAGTTTTCTTGCTTACTCTTCGTCTTTAACATCCGTGATCTTAATAACTATCTTAAAGATTATAATTTCTTGTATTTACGCGATTACACATTACTAAATGAAACTATGTTTACGGATTTATCGCGTTTCTTTTGGTTTTAATACCCGAGGTTTCGAACCCTTTTAGCGTTCCTGGTCATGGGACAGACTCAGGCGTTGGTTTCAATCTTACAATAACGACAATAAAAATATGGAGATAAATTGTCGAAAAAAGTATTTGCCACTGCCAGCATTCAAACGTGCACGTTCCGGATTACGTGTCCAAACGCTATAACCACTAAGCCAAGCGGTCGATAATTTCGACGTCCTATCTACTTTGTTTTTGTTGCATTCTTAGGAATTCCGCGGTGAAGTAAAAAACGTGAGGAAATCTTCATATTTTAAAAAGAAAAAAAATATTTCGAAGATATGTGAAGTCCGCCAATCCGCCTGTTTTTATTGTACCCTAGTTGTTAGTCTGTGTGTTTTTGTGTATGTTTGTTTTCCGTCTCGATCAATATTCATATTTCTACAGGGCTGATGGACACCTAAATTTCAATCTTACTTTTGTATGTCTTCTGTTTAATTTTCGCATATTTTTATCAAGACTTTATGTTTTCTCTATTATCGTTTAACGTCGAGTATTAGGGGTTAATTTATTTATCCAACGTTTACAACTTTAACGACCTGTTTCCGAAACACTGATCATCGTAGATGTCAACTAATCAGCTGTCAAATGGTTTTCAAATTTCATTTTAGTTGCCAAAACGATGGTTACACTCTTTGGATCGATCGCTCTGATCATTAGAAGATCATTCTGGTCAATTCAGAGAGTTCAACCGTCCTTTTGGCAACTAAAATGAAATTTGAAAAGCCGTTTGACGGCTGATTAGTTGACATCTACGATGATCAGTGTTTCAGAAACCGGGCGTAAGTCTATCTAAATAACGTATTATCTAATATCCCTAATTCACGCGGCATGGTGCCAAGAACGCTACCTGCTTTCTTCGCTGAATAGTTATGCTTAACCATTGAGCGAGGAAAGAACCAGCTTGTCACCTCCCCGGCGTTAAACTTAGAACGTAAAACTTTCAAAAATTTCGATGTTGGGGAACCCATGGGCCCAATGTTTCAACAGCAAACGGCACAAATACATAATCTGAACAAAGAGACTCATATTTGCGCCACTTCAGCTGCCTCCGATGCCGCCTCGGCCCTGACCGAAGTACCCCTTAGATGAGAGGCAGCCAAAGTGGTTAACTGAATATTAGATTGCTGACACGGATTTAAAAACCTAATTCTCCTGCGTACTGAAAACGTAGGAATGGGCTATTTGATGTGTTCTTATTCGAAATTTAAAATTGTACGGGTGGTTTGTACGGAAATTTAAATGATGCGAAATCGGTACAATCGATACGGAACATAATTAAAGGTTAATTTTAGGAATTACATTTTTTAGTTATAAAAGGTGTACTAATATTTACATCGTTTTAAATACAACTTTTGCCATTTATGTACTTTAAACATTTTAAAAAACAATTCTAATGTAAATAATAATGTAAATAATAAATGTAATGAAAAAAATAGTTGAATAAAAAAGATCGTACAAGAATATTTAACTCTTTAAATCGTAAATACCTATATGCCCTAAAATTATAAAGTCTAAATATAATTATTCTCATAATGATTGCATACATTTCAGAGAACACAAAATTTTATTAAAATTAAAATTAATAATTTTACCGCTTTATCGCGTTAATTTAAACTCATATTCTATTTTAGAAAAAAAAATATTTTGCGAAATTTTTTTAGCTTTGCGAAGTGCGTATTGACAGAGACCAATGCTATTAATTGTTGGTCAAGACATTAATATTTAATGTCGATGCAAATTGATGATAGAAATTATGTTGAAAACCGAAATTTATTCAACAAATCTAAATTAATAACATATTATCTACTGTAAGTTGAATACACATTAACTTTTGGATTAAAAACAACGGTAGATTAAAACTTAATAGAGAAACCTAATAATTTATGAACTCTGCATCCACCCCATATTATATGGGGTGCCATATCGTCGTAAATTAATGTGAAATATGATCGAAAGTAATAAATTATTTGTATAAATTATTATACAGATAATGAAGAGACAGTATATTAGCTATGAGATATAAACTAGCATGGAACACTTTTCTAAAACTATTTCGTAAAGCAATATTTTTTTATTACATAATTTAGCTTGTTATAACATATCTAAAACAGATGGTTTGGGTATTTTTTTTTTAAAAGCAAATGTATTTTTATCTTTTAACCTGCCACTATTCACTCTTTTTACATTAGCGGCGCATGCGCCGCTTTGCTGGCTTCAGCTTGTATGTTTTGAGTTTTTGTCACTGAATATAAAATTTTCTTTAATTAAAGTAGAATTCATTTTTATTGATCAAAGACTACATTTAAAGATGTTTCGGTAGAGTTTTACTTTCGTAAGTGCATCTTCACTTATGAAAGTAAAAAGACACATAACTGCCGCACGGATTTTGACATTGGCAACACCAGAGGATACTCTGGTGTGGCTTACGTGCGGTATTTAAACGCGATACTAGTAATTCAAGGCGGTCTGCCCGAAACAATAGTTCCCCGGTTGCGCCGGCGCATTTATTTAGAAAAACCTTTACGCCACGCAAACTGTTTCAGGTGCCTTAAAGTGACCATCTGCATGGTCTACATCGAATTAGACCGATAAACGAACCCTGCGAAAGAGCCTGCGATTCAGGGTCATCCGTTTAAGGCCTAAAAGAGATTCGCTTTGAGCAAAGAGTCGAGGTGGCCGAAGCCGATGCCATATGCAGTCAATCCTTTTAAGGCCCTAAGTATATCCGAGCAAAGAGTCGAGGTGGCTGAAGCCGATGCTATCTATACATACAGTCCATTTAAGGCCCTAAATGAGGGCCGATTGTGCACGTACCAGCGTCCATAGCGTAGCCGGCCGCGGCGGCGGCGGCCTGCAGCGCCCCGTACTCCTTCCCGTCCATTCCGGCCAGCATCATCACTCACACGCGGCACCATGCCCCGCCAGGGCCGAGAGCGCGTCGCGGCGTGTTAACGGCGCGTCCGCCGCGTGACATGTGCGCGGGCGACGGGCTACTTTCCCGCCGCGCGTCCCGCCTCCGGCAGCCATTGGCGCGCGTCCGCCAATCGCCGCGCCCCGTTGCGGACGCGCTCGCTTTTGGCGCGAACCACACGGAGCGTGCCGGCGGATCTTCGCGCGGGCACACGCGTGTTCGACTCTATCTCAAGCGTGTTGAGGTTCACTTTGGAGCGGCGGGACGGAGCCGAGCGTGTCTTTTCTCCCCTTCGGTCGGTTGCGCTCGGCCGGAAGCGGGACGAGCGCCGATGGAAGTGTCGCACGCAACGCGGCGCGTGAGTGGAGAGGGGGGGATGTTAATTATATACCGACTTGTTACATTTCTGCGTGTGCGCGTAAAATGTGAGTGTGTGCTGTGAGCGGTATGTGATTTCGAAATGAAATGTTTTCTGTGCCGCCAGTTGTTTTGTTTACGAGTGTATCTTGTATTAACTGATGTTTTTTCTTTCAGTCCCGAGACTATTAAAGCTTCATCGGACGCATGTTTACGAGTATGTTCGTAAGTGATAGTGCGGCGCTTTTCTGTATTTTCCATAAAGTACGCAGCACTGAACTCATTAATGTTCTCAAGGTTTTCAAATATCACGTATGCACTGCGCATGAAATATTTTTTTGCTTAAAACTGATTCCTTTGACTAAAGTGGGTAGACAACCAGGAAAGTACTACGGCCTCACAGAGGACCGGCATGAAGGGGAAATATTTTCTAATTTCGTTTCATGGGTGAGGTATCAGGGGCACATTTTAAAAACGTTAAAATAAACTTTGGCTCTGAAAGTCCAACGGTGTTTTCCATGAGCGGCGGCAATTACATATATATATATATATATATATATATATATATATATATATATATATATATATATATATATATATATATATATAAATCGCTAGATCGTCTACCAACTTTTCACATAAATAATTGTGTTAATACGGTCGACACATAGCCAGCCGTTAGTCCCATATTTATGAAATCTTCACTGAAATTGAGGTGCACAGTAGCGTCTACTATTGTCAGAATAGCACATCCAGATCCATGACGTTAACTAGTAATATTCACATATTTAACATTTAGTCCGGTAAGTCAGTTAGCTAAATGGTGTTGAGCCCACTCTAAGGAAGCTAACGGAATAGATAGGACTAGAAATAAAGCATATAAAATTCGTTACTAAAAATTATAGTATAACTAGCTGCTTCCCGCGACTACGTCTGCGTAGAATAGGCTGAAGGCGTAACATTCAAAGAGAATGAAAGATATACATCAAAATATGTATATAAATTATAGCCTATGTCTTATTCTGATGTATAAGCTATGTTATTGTGAAGTTTCATTAAAATCCATTCAGTAGTATTTGCGTGAAAGAGTAACAAACATCCATCCATACAAACTTTCGCCTTTATAATATTAGTAGTATAATGAATATTATAATAATTAAAAAAAAATATAACAGCAGTGCAAAGGTCGCGAAGGTTGGAAAGCTTTAAGCGTTAATCAAGCATGAAAATCTGTCTCGTCTTCTTTCGTTTTCTAGCAGAGTGACAGGCCGCGCAAACGGAATTGAACCTGAGAGAGTATAGAGAGTGTAATGCATTCTTAAAAGCCTTCGCTACAACACTAATATCCCACTACTCTCCATTTTCAATTAAAACGCTTTTATTAGCATCACCTGTGTTTAACTGCGTAGGACTGCAACGGAATCCTTCAATACAATTCTCATTAATTTTCAGACGTTGCAATGCTTTGATATTTTGCAAACATGTTAAGAGCAGTCGACAACATAACATTTTCATAATAACGACATAACATTCCCAAGGGGTGCAAGGGCTCATATACCGTGCATCAGTTAAATAAAACTATGTTTCATATTTTATCTCGTTTTATTTTGTTTTCAATTTATAACATATTATCTAATTTATTAATTATTATTAAAAAAATGGGATAACTTCTTTAAAATTATCTAAAATGCCTTATATATCGTGCGCAAACTATTTTTAAAAATACTTTTTGTCTTCGAAATACACTTAAAAAACGGGTTAATATATCCTCTCAATTCACGCTAACAAGGCAGAATATAATATTCCCAGCCTATAGATTTCCATATCGGACAGTAAAAAAAAACTCGGGCCTTTGAGACCGCAAGATCGATAGCCCAGGCAGTATAATTTTATTTAAATGACATATTACATTATGCCATGTATCAAGTGGGGCGAGGTCGGGTTATATCACAGTCGACCGACAAAGCTTGATGTCGGTATGGCGCATATTGACCATTAGATGCTTTCGAACGCATCCGCGTCTCTCTCGATCACATACTTACGCCCGGTTTGTGAAACACTGATCATCGTAGATGTCAACTAATCAGCCGTCAAATGGCTTTTCAAATTTCATTTTAGTTGATTAGTTGACATCTACGATGATCAGTGTTTCAGAAACCGGTCGTCAGTGTTTCAGAAACTGGGCGTAACTTTTTCGTTTTGAAATCGACCTGGCTCACCGATATTCAGGATAGACGCCCCGAGCGCCCGGCCACCTCAACTTCGGTGGATCTGTAAAGGCCTCCCAAGGGCAACAGTGGTAGATCTTGCCAAAAAAATCGACTCACCTTAAGGGACTTACGGGGGACACTTGGAGATTTTTTTGGTTACAAATACCTCATAGCCCTGTCTTCAGTAACACTTGATCTTTTGAAGTTTTCCCTCGGCTATATACAGGGCCGATATTATAGACCTTTTAACAATTTACAGCTGAAAAGTGTTAATTATGTCGACGTTTTTTCGACGTTAACGGCTTACGAGGATTTATTATAGTAGAGAGCGTTTGATGTGTCACTCTCTCCAGTCCTAAAATGTGTCGACGATGCTACACAATGTATAAGGACACATCTACTACAATGTATAAGGTTCCAGCAGTTGCGCTGATTATTCGTGCTTTCGAAATTCGTTTGGGTAGTAAAGTAACCAAGGCTCTTCTTTCTTCCTCTTTTTTTATGGGGGAAAACGGCACGCGAGCTGACGGTTCACCTGATGTTAAGTGATGACCGTCCATGGACATTTGCAACACCCGTATGGTTGCAGTTGCGTTGCCAACGATCAATAAGTGTGTAATAACTCAGTTCGTCCATACGGTAGTTCGAATTTTGTCGTACGATCTTATACAACATGCATCAAAAAACAGACCAAATACGAGTCGGAATCGCGTGCGAATGTTCCGTACCACTATCTATAAAAACGGCAAAAAATGTCTGTCATATGGGAGCTCCACTTAAATATTTTTTATTCTGTTTTTTTTTAGTATTTGTTGTTATAGCGGGAGCAATAAATATAGTATATAAATTATAGCCTATGTCTTATTCTGATGTATAAGCTATGTTATTGTGAAGTTTCATTAAAATCCATTCAGTAGTATTTGCGTGAAAGAGTAACAAACATCCATCCATACAAACTTTCGCCTTTATAATATTAGTAGTATAATGAATATTATAATAATTAAAAAAAATATAACAGCAGTGCAAAGGTCGCGAAGGTTGGAAAGCTTTAAGCGTTAATCAAGCATGAAAAATCTGTCTCGTCTTCTTTCGTTTTCTAGCAGAGTGACAGGCCGCGCAAACGGAATTGAACCTGAGAGAGTATAGAGAGTGTAATGCATTCTTAAAAGCCTTCGCTACAACACTAATATCCCACTACTCTCCATTTTCAATTAAAACGCTTTTATTAGCATCACCTGTGTTTAACTGCGTAGGACTGCAACGGAATCCTTCAATACAATTCTCATTAATTTTCAGACGTTGCAATGCTTTGATATTTTGCAAACATGTTAAGAGCAGTCGACAACATAACATTTTCATAATAACGACATAACATTCCCAAGGGGTGCAAGGGCTCATATACCGTGCATCAGTTAAATAAAACTATGTTTCATATTTTATCTCGTTTTATTTTGTTTTCAATTTATAACATATTATCTAATTTATTAATTATTATTAAAAAAATGGGATAACTTCTTTAAAATTATCTAAAATGCCTTATATATCGTGCGCAAACTATTTTTAAAAATACTTTTTGTCTTCGAAATACACTTAAAAAACGGGTTAATATATCCTCTCAATTCACGCTAACAAGGCAGAATATAATATTCCCAGCCTATAGATTTCCATATCGGACAGTAAAAAAAACTCGGGCCTTTGAGACCGCAAGATCGATAGCCCAGGCAGTATAATTTTATTTAAATGACATATTACATTATGCCATGTATCAAGTGGGGCGAGGTCGGGTTATATCACAGTCGACCGACAAAGCTTGATGTCGGTATGGCGCATATTGACCATTAGATGCTTTCGAACGCATCCGCGTCTCTCTCGATCACATACTTACGCCCGGTTTGTGAAACACTGATCATCGTAGATGTCAACTAATCAGCCGTCAAATGGCTTTTCAAATTTCATTTTAGTTGATTAGTTGACATCTACGATGATCAGTGTTTCAGAAACCGGTCGTCAGTGTTTCAGAAACTGGGCGTAACTTTTTCGTTTTGAAATCGACCTGGCTCACCGATATTCAGGATAGACGCCCCGAGCGCCCGGCCACCTCAACTTCGGTGGATCTGTAAAGGCCTCCCAAGGGCAACAGTGGTAGATCTTGCCAAAAAAATCGACTCACCTTAAGGGACTTACGGGGGACACTTGGAGATTTTTTGGTTACAAATACCTCATAGCCCTGTCTTCAGTAACACTTGATCTTTTGAAGTTTTCTCTCGGCTATATACAGGGCCGATATTATAGACCTTTTAACAATTTACAGCTGAAAAGTGTTAATTATGTCGACGTTTTTCGACGTTAACGGCTTACGAGGATTTATTATAGTAGAGAGCGTTTGATGTGTCACTCTCTCCAGTCCTAAAATGTGTCGACGATGCTACACAATGTATAAGGACACATCTACTACAATGTATAAGGTTCCAGCAGTTGCGCTGATTATTCGTGCTTTCGAAATTCGTTTGGGTAGTAAAGTAACCAAGGCTCTTCTTTCTTCCTCTTTTTTATGGGAGAAAACGGCACGCGAGCTGACGGTTCACCTGATGTTAAGTGATGACCGTCCATGGACATTTGCAACACCCGTATGGTTGCAGTTGCGTTGCCAACGATCAATAAGTGTGTAATAACTCAGTTCGTCCATACGGTAGTTCGAATTTTGTCGTACGATCTTATACAACATGCATCAAAAAACAGACCAAATACGAGTCGGAATCGCGTGCGAATGTTCCGTACCACTATCTATAAAAACGGCAAAAAATGTCTGTCATATGGGAGCTCCACTTAAATATTTTTTATTCTGTTTTTTTTTAGTATTTGTTGTTATAGCGGGAGCAATACAATAATCTGTGAAAATTTCAACTGTCTAACTATCACGGTTCATGAGATTCAGCCTGGTGACAGACGGACAGCCTAAGATAGTGTCGTTTTACTCTTTGGGTACGGAACCCTAAAAATATGAAGTAGGACACAAACAGACCTTCGGGTTTGATGAGCTACGATCGCCAGTAGCGACGGGATATTTTAATATTTCCGGGACGCCGGAAAACCTTCAAACAACCGTGGCGCGCCAACAAAAACATCACACGCGCACCGCGGGCTCGGGGCGTATTCCTGTTAATTACCACAAATATGCGGTGCGCGTAAAAAAAAAAGCGTGCGGGGTCACTTTGAGGGCGCCCGTTTCGTTCTCAACAAATTTTGTCGTAGTCAATGACGCGCGACACCGCCGAGTCAAAGTTCCCGCGCATCGGTAGCGGTGTTTGTTTTTTTTTTCTCTTTTTCATTTGTTTTTTTTTTCAGCCGCCGATTCGACAATTATATGCCAGTGTCTTGAAAAACATTTTTGTGTTATTATAGCCTCACTGTATGGTAACGTTATACTGTTTAAAGGATTTGTATTTTATATACGCAAAAATCACGCGGACAAAACTTAGAACGTAGATCACAAAAATACTTAAGCCGAAACTTATAACTAAGAAATTAAACATAGACATCAAAAAAGCCAGTTTGATTTTTTTTTATTTTATATCAAACGTACGATAATCGCACGTAAAGGCACGCAAGTTTCACTTTTTAGTTATTTTTTATTTTTTCAACATGAAAATACATTTATAACAATTTAATTTAATTCTTGGATAGTATAGCGAAATAACTTTAAAAATTTGTTACGCTTATTACGCTCAGAAAATAATGAATACTACAACTTTACAAATAAAGATATTTACTTCTGCCTTTATTCCACGTAAGATGGGGTCGGCACATCTTAATCGTGTTAGTACCATTGCTAGCCGACATTACTAGCCGACACCATTATCGGCTAGATTGTTTATGGACAGGCGCTTGCCTAATGTCAACCCTCCTTTGGAATAAACACCCAGATGAATTATCTATGGGCCACGAAAAGTACTTGTCCCGTGTGGATATCGAAAACACGACCTCAGGGGTCGAAATAGCTTAGCAACTCCGCCACCGAGTCACAATAAAACTATTTATATAAAATTTTACATTTAAAGTAACAGAGGACAGACAAATGCCACGACAGTCAGATCATTTTACTACTCGACTCTACAATCGTAGCTCCCGTAGCTAGCTTTTAGGCATTGACCTCTAGAAGAGAGAATTATCCTATATAGCTAATGCTATGTGTATGTGCTAATCCTATACATGTCCCACTGCTGGGCAGAGGCCTCCTCTGAACAGAGTTTATCAGGGCAAAGGCCACCACGCGGTCCCATGGCGGATTGGTGGACTTTACATATCTTCCAAATATTTTTCTTGTTAAAATTAGTAGAAAACTTTTTTAATCTTAAGTGCAGAGATCCACACTATAATTTTCTTGCTTGTTATTATTTCGAATATATGAAGTTTTCCGTCACCGCTGAGCACGTGATAATTCAGCACTTAAAAATAACAATTTCATTGGTGCCGACACCGGGGATCGAACTTGGGTTGCTCAAGTATATTGAAATATAGGCCAGCACCCGGACACTAAGCTATCACGGCTAGAAAGACTCATAATCAGAAAAAAATAAAGCATCATAATAGTTTAATAGGATACGTTAATGCGATATTTAAAGGAATGGAATATGTAGAGTAGCAGTAAGTTAGGTTTGTACTGTTAAGTAAGGGTTAATTAAAAGATTTGTGCAGTTAAAATTTATTGTTGATAAAAAAAAGGAAAGTATATTATTATTATTATAGTGTACTATTTGTATTAATTTTTCACAATTTTTCAATTGTTCATGAGTATTTTTGAGTTACTAAATTCAGTGCTGGCATTTTTGCTAAACCTAGGAGGAGGCATAGCTCTTTGTTCTTACAACAAAAGGATAAAGACTCCCTGGCTCTTGCCTAATAATTGAAAGAATAACTTAACTTAATTGCTTTATTCAATACAAAATACGAACTATACTTAAACTTTGAGCGAGAATAAAACCAGACGTCTTATCATCAGACGCGACGAAAGTAAGCCGAGGACATAATTCTCCCAAAAATTCTATGCAAACTATTTAAAGGACTGTTTAAAGGAGTCCTTTTCACGTTTCGGAGACTGACATAAGAATTTAGTCTGCTGTATGCCGTTTTCGTACAACTCGACGCATCCTGCGAGTTTAGCCCCGAGGTCGAACTGGCCTCAAATCGGAATAACACGAAATTTGCCACCACTAAAACGTAATGCGCATCGGGGGCGCAAATAAAATATTAATAACAGGCTCGTTTGTTAAGGAACGCCGGCCGGGCCCCCGCCGGTGCCTTAATAAATAACCTATAAAACCATTGTTCGGCGGCAGACCGCGTGGTTTATGCCCAATTGTGCCGCACTTGGACCTTGAGACGCTGCACAAAGTCCCAAACGTCGAGGGGACGGCGTTCTTAAATTAGTCTATAACGTATACAAATAAGGTTCGCTTTAGATTGAAGGTACGCATGTTCGAAGAAACCCCCTCCAGCGCACGTCCAGCATTGTTTCGTATCAGATTATCTTTTCCATAAAAGCGCTTTATAGCGGTCGTTAATAAATGCGATATTTTTCGCGCGAAACTCATAATGTTCCGCCGCCATTGTTTTTCGAGCATTATCGTGTGGTTCGATCGATAGTGCTCTGACAAGTTCTATGCTTATGGTCTCTGTTTTATTTCATTAGTCTGTGTTTCTCTTTTTGATGTGAAACATCTATAGCCGCACGTAAAACCGATTTCTGGCGAGGCGACGCATGCCACGTGGCACGGCATGCGTCCCAAACATCTATTGGCGATATGTGTGCTTCACACGTTAATCTAGAAGATGGAAGTGAATTGATGATGATTGTTGTGTACATTTCTCCTAATAAAAAATAAATGACATCATTTCATATTTCATATTTGCATGTTATGTCCAATAATTTTGTAACATACTTCAGTTACCATCGATCAATTGTCACAGTAATACCGTCCTCAGAGGCAATATTAAATAGTCCACGACCAGCAATAGTCTTCGCTGTTGCACGAATAGCCTATTACTTAGCCCTACCACAGTCTTTTTTAACTAACCTATTCCACGTTCGATAGGCCTCAAGTGATGAACTCACTACATCAGTAATCTGGCACGTATTCATTAGTCTCTCAGAATAATTTGACTTAATAGGGCCACGCAACAATTTCTGCTCTTGCATGAATGGGCAGGTCCGTCCGGGTAAGTACTACGACCTCACAGAAGACCGGCTTCAAGCTGAAGTGTTCTGCTTCCCTTTATCAAAAAATGATCAAGGTAGAGCGAGAATATCTTTCAGCGCCCTTTAGTCATTGCTCTCACATAAATTGTACTTTGATGTTATGTTAAATACATAATAACCTTTTTTTTTCAAATAAATTTATTACAAACGTCTTACTTGAACAAAAATACTTAAAAACTATAAATACTGATTCTTTAAAACTGATAGTTTTTACTGCTACGTAGTTAAATGGAAATGTTATTTTATTTCAATTTAACAAATTTTATTATATTTCCAATACAATAAATGTAAATATTGTAACAATTATAATTAACATTGATCTAACACAAATAAAAATGAATTTTTGTAATTGTTACACTCCTGCTTTTTCAATATTAACAACGCTAAGAGCTTTGTTAATATAATTTCTAATATAATTAAATTATTATTTGTTGTGATTGTCAATCAGTCGGTAAATAATAAAATCTGTTTCCTACTAAACTAAAACTGCTCGCGTATTTCAAAAGGCGCCATCAATATTTTATTTCATGTGAAAATGTTTTTTTCCATTTGAGATTTAGTGCTCTTTTATACCTGGCACCTCCTCTTACTTTACCAATGGGTCGACGCTGAGGACACACACAGTTCAATGAGTTCAATAGACAGCGTCCCGGCATAGAACAGGTATCTCAGTGTAATATACTCTTGATTAACCAACGCACTTTCGAGAGAGATTAGTAGAGACTCCTAGGACGACCTAGGTCTGCTGTCTGACAAATAGACGAGCCCTTCAATAAGAGTTGCTGAAAGAAGGTCGGGCCACTGAGTATAGTAAAAAATGGGCCGCGAAAAGTTTTCTAAAAAATGTCGGGCCACGAAAACCGTTCAACAGCGTTGGGCCACGAAGAGCCGCCTGAGCACGGGGCCATAAAACAGAGGACAATGTCGAGGGTACTAAGTTAGCCAATCGCACGCCCCTCTGCGCGCCAACCATCGGCTCGCGGCCGTCAAAGAGCGCGCCGGCGTCGTTAACTCCCGACACGTGACGTAGTCCGCCCTCGGTATAAATAACCGGAGCTCTCCCCAAATACGAGCGCCTCTGATCTCCGCGGCGGGCGTCGCGCTCCACCGCCGCCGATAATCGCCGCCTACCGCGTCCTGGGCGCCCCACTCGAAAACCGACCCAAAGACCTCGCCTCAAAGCTGGTTATCCCGGAACCGTGGCGGATTCCGTCTCCCTTGCGGCTGCGGTGCCAACATCCACCAGTAGGCTGCCGAGCGAAATGCAACTGTATCGGCGGGCGATAACGCTCGAATTAGTTTGGACTGTAAGCGGAAATTTGCTAGCACCGAATGGAATACTGGAAGATATGTCGTAGGCTTTGCGTGGAGGGTTAAAACTCGAGCGGTGGTTCCGTTAGCTGATCCTATCTCGGGTCTTCTTTAATTAGACGGTTTAATTAAGAAACGCGAGTTATCCGAAGCGATAATTGGATCATTAGTTAGGTTTCAACGGACGTTAGTCATTGTTTATTCAATGAATTTCACGTATTGTGTATAACGCCTTCCTTCTGATACGTCGAGGGAGTTTGGGTTTTGCGTTGAGGATTTTCTGCCTCACTGTTGCCATATTTTTCTACGACTGGAGTACTACGACAGTATTTGACTATCACCCACCTGAATGTAGGCAGGGGACTTTTAGATTTTTAGCATACTTGCACAGTAAATTCCTTTGTACTCTGTTTAAGGTTCCCGTCGAATTCTGAATGACCTATCTGACTGTCCAAATTGTTGCACGCTTCAGATTGTCCTGTTCATATTTGACGTGATTGAATCACTAGTTCGGTTATTCGTACAATACCTTGATTGTCATTAAGACACGGGGAGGAATTTCCTAATAATGGAGGAAGATTCTCCTCAATAATAAACGGTAAAATAAGGCCTTGAGTACATTTTGACCAAACTGACCACTTTATTAAGGCAGTGTTGTGATTTTTGTGGATGAGTTGAATAGCGAGCAAGCTGATGGTAAATGCTTTTTTGTATCGTGTAGTCTGCTGTTAGCCCAGTGGCTTTGACAGCTTAGGTGGAAGAGGTCCGCGGGCGGACGACCCAAGGACTCGGGAGAGCAACGTAGCTGGCTCTGCTCTGACTCCGCTGTACTCCGCAACACCTTGCTGACGAAAGATGGACAGTCGACTAACAGGGAGGGCACGACACGATCCAAGGGCCCCTCAGATAGAGGTTCGAACCTCGGCCTGGATCGCAATCGATATGGGGACCTTCCCAGAGGAAGGAATTAGGTTGAAATTGCGATTTAATACCGAGACGCATCGGCGTTGCACTATCGCTTATGAATGAACTACTGAGGTGCAATGCTGAATGTTTGTTTTCGACATTGCATTAGAAACCTCGAAATTATCAGTGTTTCTCTACTATATCATGCATGAATTATACATATAAACCTTCCCCTTGAATCATTCTATCTATTAAAGAAAACCGCATCAAAATCCGTTGAGTAGTTTTAAAGATCTAAACATATATAGGGACAGACAGACAGTGGGACGACTTTGTTTTATACTATGTAGTGATAAATAATTATACAAACAATCATATAACAAAAAAAAAACCGACTTCAAACCGGAGACTAAAAACATTGTTAATACCTACAACATTTGAGGATTGCCCTTGATTTCTCTGGGATGCCATCATCAGATCCGGGTTTCCTTCAGGATTATGGTACCACCCAGGGATATCCTTTCGTACAACAAAAAAAGAATCATCAAAATCGTTACATAAACGACGAAGGTGTCCGCAAACACATAAAAAAAATATATACGGTCTAATTGAGAAACCTCCTCCTTTTTTCAAGTCTATTAATTATTACCTTAATTAAGGGAATACGTTCAAAATTGTTTAAAAATGCCCGTTTATTACCAATTTTTCTATAATCGTTAAAATGAACATACATATTGCCGATCTGATCAAAGATATCTTAGAATGTAAGCGGAGATATTACTGCGTATGTTTCTACATTTCATCCGTAATTTTTTTCTTTCTTTGCCAGTCATGTTCAATTATCGTACGGTGAATACTTATTGGCTCTATGTACTCGTAACGTGACACAAAACGTGCATTCGATAAGAACTGTCTCTCCAACATCCTCTTCCAAATAAGCGCCCTCGCTGGCAATCAGACAAACGGGAGTGACAAGCTTCCCCGACTCAGTATCGATATCAAAGGCGCCGCCTCGCCGCCGGTTTCCCGCAACTGTTACTAGTGATGGCAAGTTTTTATATTTTTTATCGATGTATCAATATTTCAGCGATTCAGTTTAATAAAAAAGGTACTATTCTTCGCCTAAAGGCCGACTACAAAAGTTCTATGTACTAACAAATTGTTACTAGTGAGAAACTATTGGTATTTGAAACATACACGCCTTATTTTATATTGGGTATAATGAATAAAAATAAATACTATTGTAGAAATATTTACACCATAACATGCTATGATCATGACATCTATTATAGTTATCATCCACAGATAAATTCTTTTCCCGCCTATAAAAAGACGCTGGGGTGATATATGTGTAGTATATGTTTATAGCATCGTTCGAAATTCAATTAACAGGTCATACATAATCTTACATTTCATTTAGATTATGCTATCTTACATAATCTAAATACAATTAGAGTTCAATTTTAATTCTTAATTAGCGATTGTCGATGGCCAGTACGAGGCTGGCACTCGAGATCCTTTCTTCCCCAATGGGTATCGGTTCTACGAGTTATATGGCCGGCCCATCGCCATTTCAACTTGCTTATCCTTTGAGCTATGTCGGTTATCTTGGTTCTACTGCGGATGTCCTCGTTACGAACTCTATCACGCAGAGAAATGCCGAGCATAGCCCGCTCCATCCATAGCTAGCTAAGCGACTTTGAGCTTCCTCATACGGCCGGCAGTGAACGATAGTTTAATGATAAAACTATCGACTATCGACAAACGACATCGGGCATCCCTAGCGTATGACTGACGGCGGCATTTATGTTCGCCGCAGTCGGGCAACGCACATGCAGCTTATTAGCCGCAGAAGCGCCAGATCGCATCTCGCAATGCTGTCGGAAACCGAACCCACACTGAAACGCGATCACGCCCTCAAAGGAATCCCGTCAGTTGTCGTTTAGAAAAAGAGAAAGAGAGAAAACGGATAGGGGGACAGAGCCACCAATGCAACTTTTTAACGCACCCAAAAAAGGAGGTCCTATGTGACGTTTTTTGTATTTGTTTGTTTGTTTTAAATGAGTGACTCGGCGGCGTAGTTGCTAAAGCTATTAGCTTCGGCGCTTGGGGTCGTGGTTTCGATTCTGACACATAAACAATTATGTACATCATGATTCAACAGTTGGAGATTGATAATGATCTTTGCAATAAAATTAGATGTGTAGGTTGGTCCAGAAAGGGATTTCGACCTCACAGAAGATCGGTGTAAAGTACACTTCTACGGTTTGCCTGGTGAGTGAGATATCCACTTTATTAAAAGGTAGCAACGCATCTGCAAACCCTAAAGGTGTTGCAAATTTCCATGTGCGGCGGTTATCACTTAACATCAGGTGAACCGCGCTAGGTCGCTTGCTCCTTCCGACATAAAAAAAAGAATAACATGTGAATGATTGTACTTTTACGACCGATTAATAACTGCTCCAACAAAAAATAAAAAAGAATGAAAACTCCACCGCTATTTGCTTTTATAGTTCTAATAAACTTAAATTTGCTTTCTTCTGTCGTGTGGAACATCAACCTATATACTATATTAACATAGGCTAGTAGTCTGGTTTTTCCGCGAGTTCCGCAATATAAAACAATTTACGGCCGATTTCAATATTCTATCTACAGATAGATTAATTGTTTACTAGCGATAGGTATTTGACATATTTAGCTTCATAATAACGTAAGTCAAAGTACTATATCCCGTAATAAAATCTATCTGTAGATTGAATTTTGAAACCGGCCGTTAATAGACCACGGACTGATACAGAAAACATCAGTTATATAAAGAAGCAGTTAAATAAAGATAAACTTTTCATTGTGTAATAGACGGGGCTCGGTAAATCCGAAGTCGGCCGTTTGATACGTCTTAAATCAAGCCATCCCGTAAATCAAGACGCGTTGAAAGCGCCCGACAGCCCGTCAACCTCCTCGCTCTAGTTTGCGTGCGATGAGCCAATAGCCCGCCGTAAATATCTTGACGTACAGTTGGCAGGTCTGAGCGGTAGAGTTGGCAGGCTTGAAGACGCTTGCTAGGTGATAAAGCGCTCTGAACTTATACATAATTACGTATACACTTACCTATACTATATCGTTACGTAATGTCCCTATGTTTGATAGAGTCAGACAGTGGAACCCATTTCCTGCGTCGATTTCCACCACTGGTAGAGCGCTGTGCGATGTACATAGTGTGTTTCTATGTCTGGGTGTTCATGTATTTCTTTATATAAGAAAAGTAAGTGTGTTTAAGTGTTTTAATTAGTTCTTATAGAACAAGCCTCGCTTAGTTTGGAGTAAAACATGGCGATATATAAATATCTGTCGAAATTGAAAGGTGGAAAACGAGCTGGCGGTTCCTGTCCTGATGTTAAGTGATAGCCGCCGCCCATTGATTGTGCAACACCCCTAAGGTTGCAGATGCGTTGCCACCTTTTAATAAAGTGACCCCGGCTACCTCACTTACCAGACGAAACGGAGAGCTATGATACTTCCACTTAACATCGGTGATCTATTAGGACGTGGTACTTACCCGGACGGACCTGCATATTCGTGCAACAGCGATGACTGTTGCGTGGTCCTACCACAGGTAAAAATTTTATGAAATTCTCTCTACGAGAAGTTTATTGTTTTTCAAAGAGTCTCATAAATTCTGGTAACACAAATGTAATGTATGTGTTGGAAATAGAGTGACGATTTGTCTAAAATCATTTACCAGCAACGGTAGTTTAGCTTGTAGTGAATGTTTCTGTAAGACTTGTTCTCTCATCTCCTCCATAAAAATGTGACTTATTTGTGACTCTTGAAATATCTCACACCATTGATAAGCGAATGTTAACCAATTGTCTTGTAAAAAATTCACTCGAACCGACAAAACAATGGCATCAATAGTGATATAATTTTTCGTGTAGACGTAAAAATTGTTTCAAATCAGTAGAAGGTGTATATTTTATGTTATTAGTGCTGTATAGTGCCTATATTATATTAGTAGTGCTGGCATATTGAATTTAATCTTCAATTATTTTCTTATTATAAGTATTACT